ACTAATCTGTATATGAGGGCTCTGCCCTCATTAGCTCATCACCTCTGAAGGCTTAGACTTCAAATACCATCATCTTGCGGGGGTTTCAGCTTGAATTTGGGGGGCGGGAACATATTAAGATTGTAGAACCAATTTTATCACTGGTACATAATTTTCCATATTATCTCTTCTTTGTTTATTCTGTCACTAATGAAATACTGTATCCCAGGCATAGCACTGAGCACTTTGTAGATGTCTTTTTAATGAGTACAGTGGTTCTGTGATTTAAATGTTATCCCAGTTGTATAAATGAGGAAATGGAATTACAGAGATTAAACTACTTGTCCAAAGTAATAAAGCTGTAGATAGCATAGCTAGGATTAGCTTAAGTTAATTTTATTTTTCATGAAGGTCATAAAGCTAGCTTTTGATGACAGGAATGAAGATTTTCTTCTATTTAATTACTTAGATGATATTCCTTAAAAGCTACTGGTTTAAACTGATCTGATGGTAGTTTTTAGGTTTTACAACTTTTAGTGTTAGTGGAGCATATTATATGACATGGCACCCACTGCAGTTCTCTTTTAAAACAAAAAATTAATTAATGGATGATAGAGCTTCATGTTAAACAAACCTGCTGTCCAGTCCAAGAGTATTTCTCACCTGGAGTATAATAGCTTCCATTACTGTTCCTACTTTTGATTCCTTTAGTCTCTTTGTGTCAGGTGGAGTGATTTGGTTCATCATTTTGTCTAACCATGTCATCACATCTTTGTTCTCAACCTTCCAATGAATTTCTGTTTAATTTACTGTATAAAGCCAAAGTCCTTAACTTTACTTTGAATTCTTCAAGTTGGCTCCTGTAAACTCGACATCTCTTTAGCTTTGTCTTGGTCTTCTGCTGTTTTCTCACTTGCTTATTCTGCAGGTCTTCTTGCTAGTCTTTGAACCTGTCAGTTATATTTCCTGCCTTAGGACATTTGTACTTATTCTTCTGTCTGCCAGATTATTGTTCTACTAATTGCCATGTAGATGATTTCTTCACTACCTTGAAATATTTACTAAAATGTCAGCTTCTCATTGAGTCTTCCCTGACTATCCATTCCCTAAATTTACAACCCATTTCCCAGTGCAACCCTTTCTATTCCCTTTCCCCACTTTATTTCTTCCTTAGCATTTATCATAATCTAACCTTATTATAGAAGGTCTTTATTTATCTTATTTATTATCTGTTTCCTATTAGATTGTAAATGCTGTGAGGGGATTTTTGATGGATATTCACAGTTGGTTCATTGTAGATGCCACAGCCAGCCATAAAATGTCCATTGGAAGCATTATTACTCACATTTGTTAATGTATTTAATTTGGAATTGGAAAGATCTATCTCCTTTTCCTTATTTTAAAAATGCCTTGTTATAGGAGCTATTTGAAAGATTGGTATGTTAATACCTAGACATGTGGTAGAAAATTTTGTATATTTACTATTGTCCAAGACTGTTCCTAGTTTTAGAAATTAGTATTGAGACTATAGAGTTTCTTTCAGATGGACTTTTTAAAAATCATAATTATGTATGATTTGAGACAAATGAAACTGAAGGTCATTATGTTAAGTGAAATAAATCAGGCGCAGTTCAAGCAAGGACTGCTTGAACTCTCTTACATGTGGAATCTAAAATAGTTGATCTTGTAGAAATAGAGAGTAGAATAATAGTTACTAGAGGCTGGGTACAATAGGGGAAGAAGGGATTAGGAAAGGTCTGTTAATGTACACTACGATATGATTTAGAGAAATAAGTTCTAGTATTTTATTGCACAGTAGGGGGAGTATAGCTAATTACTGTATATTTCAAAAAGCTAAAAGAGAAGGCTTTTAAATATTATCACCTAAGGAAATAATAAATGTTTAAGGAGCTAGGTATGTTTACCCTGATTGGAACATTACACAGTGCATACATTTTTTGAAACATCACATGGTACCCCATAATTATGTGCAATTTTTATGTGTCAATTAAAATTAAATACCATTTGAAAATAGATTTAGGCTAAAATGTCTTATAATGAATGACAAGAAACAAAACTTCCCCTTCAATATTCCTAAGATAGTCCTCTAAGAAGCAATCCTTTCAATTTTTGTAACTATTTCTTTTGGTGGAATTAATCATCAATGCCATCATCCTGATATTTGAGTGCTTATTTGGTGCTTACTAATGTTGCAAGTAGGTTTTTTTTTCCTTTTGAATTGAATTGACTTGTGAGGTTGATGCTGTTGTTATATGCATAGTAACACATGAACAAGCTGAGGCATAGGGAGATTAAATAATTCATCACATTATATAATTAAAAAGTAGACAGGCTGTTGATTTAACACAGACATCACAACTTCTCTCCTCTATTATGTACTGCTAACTAGATTGCCTTCATTTCACGAAATAACATGGTTGTTACAGTTTGGATCTGGATGCTCCCCAAAGGCTCATGTGTTCTAGGATTCATCCCCAAAGATGGTTTTATTGTGAGGTAGTAGAAAACTTTAGGAAGTGGTGCCTAGTTGGAGGAAGTTGGTCACTGGGAAGGTGGTCTCAAAAGCTGTATCTTCTTGGCTGCCATGAGTTAAAAGCAACTTGTTTAACAACACCCTTCTACCATGATATTCTGCTTTACCAGAAGCCCACACTGATGGGACCAAGAAATCATGGACAGAAACCTCTACATCTGTGAACCAAAATAAATCTTTTCTCCTTTTAAGTTGATTTTCTCAGATATTTATCACAGAAACAAAAAGCTAGCAATAGTACTACTGTTCTTGACTTATTACTTGAACTTCCTATCATAGATGAAGATTTAAATATTTCAAACTGGTGAGCAAGTAGGTAAGTGCTTGGCTAGGTAGTTCTGGAAGAGGTAGAAGATTAGGGTCCTTTGTGTCAGTGCTATTCAAACTATCTGTGATAATTTTTTTTTTCATTTTTTTGGTCATATTTATAATTTTTAAAAATTTAGTGAAAATGAATTACTACAAAATAAGATTACAAAACCCATATAATGCAATAAAACTCATTTCAATTATATTCAACAGCATTCTGTCAAATTCCCCTACAAGATGAAGGTTCTATACTTCAAATTTCTATACTTCTTCAGAAGTTGGTAATATAATGAATCCTGCAATCCTTGGACCAGCCCTGGCCCGCGAGCTACCCTGGATGGTGCTGTCCTGCTTATTCTAAGTCTTCCAGTTAATCCCTCTGTTTTCAGTCAGCCTGCCTTTTTCATGTTTACCATCTCCTTGGATTGAGCCTCTTTGGGGTTAGGCTGGGTTGATTGGCCTACTTTTTAAGTTTTATCCCTTTCAGTATGTACTCTGATCTGTGGCCTTCTCTATCTTGGTTCTTCATTTACCTTTGTGTCTGCTTTTCTTCTTGTGGAGTTTGTTCAAGTATCTATCATTAATAAATATTTTTCTTTTCATTATTGAGGCTTTAAATCCTGCATTATTTTTATTCTTCTATCACTTTAATAGGTTTAGGAGGAAAAGTAGAGAAATGTTTTTTAGTAAGTTTATTGCTGTTGTGACTTGGAGGTCTACCAGAGTTTTATTTTTTCCTTCTAGATGTGAGCAAGAGACTTGGCATTTAAGGCTATTAGATACTCTTGTGTGGGTTGCACACTGAGGAGTCATATCTGATCAAGGGGAGATAGATCAAGGACATGAAAAACAGTTAACATTTTACTTATTAAATCTTTTGCCCTTTTGTTGGGACTGAAAGAGAGACTGCCTGTTTCTAATTCCAGAAAGTCACCAAGTTATGTATGTGATTGTTTTGCCACATCTAACCTAAGGGAGTGCCTTTTTTTTTTTTTAATATTCATAGAAGTGTTGTATGTCTTAATTATGTACTTGAAGAAACTCAGACATTAAAATACCCTTTTTTCAGAATTTTACCAATTTGATATACATTATATTGTATCAGATAACTCCTGACATATTTAATGAATTAGTTGGTTTGTAATTCTCTGTTCCCTAATCCACAGATCTCAAACATCTTTCTCCTGGGTCCCTTTGTAGCCATTGTGGTAATTTCCCATAACATGTTTGACTCTATCAAAAGACTTTCCATCCCCACTTTCTAGGATATTGTTTATACTCAGGAAATAATCCTTGAAGGAGTGAATTTTCATTTAAAGTTTTAAATGTTAATGTGTCATTAGTAAGGTTAGAATTTGTATACTACTAAAGAAAAGTGGATAAATGCTGGATTAAAAAGAGGGATGGATTTGCTTTTATCTTGCAAAGAGAACTTCAGAGATAGATAATCTAGGATTGATAGAGCTTTTTGAGGATGTCATCAAGGAACCAGTATCCTGTTGTAAGCTTATGACTTTTGTCTTCTCAGTCACAAACGGTGGTTGTATCTCTAGACATTTCATCCGTTTAGACCTAAATTTGAATTTTGGCTTTGAGATTTTTACAGCTTTGTGCCTCAGTTTCCTCATCTTTAAAATGGATCCCATAATATGCACCTGTCTCATTGTGTTGTAGAAAAATTAAAACTAATGTATGTCTTAGTTCAGTAGATCTAGTTTGTTATTTGAAATAGTGATAATTATTACCATCATTATCTACAAGCATTATTGAAACTGGAATTCTAAATTTGTCACTTGAAGAATTGATATTTTGGGGAATAGAGAAGAAAAGAGGTAATGTAGATTAACAGGTCCAGGTAGGTGCTCTTGAATACAGGAATGTGGAAGAAGATGGTAGAATTTTCTTAAGGGCTTTGTGACTGTGTTGCACTATAAAATTATGGACTGAGTAAAGTATTTAAACCAATTAAATGTACTCATTACATTCTTTTACTACAATCTTTGTAAAGTTCAGCTCAGTAGGAATTTCATCTTCTATTGTTAGGTTTGAAGATGCAACTCAAGTATTTGCCGATTCTGATTTCATTGATATTATTACTAACCTTTTCTAATTTGTTAACATTCTTCTTTAAAAAAAAATCATTTTTTTATTTTTTTAGCCCCATCTGCTTTGATATGATCGAGGAAGCATACATGACGAAGTGTGGCCACAGCTTTTGGTAAGGTGATTTTGTTCAGCGAAATAGTCTTTTTTTTTTTTTTTTTAAACTTATATGTATATGTAAACCAATGAGAAATTATGCTTTTTAAACTAATTTTATATTGTTTCCTTGACTGATCTGTGTTACAGAGTTCACAGTTCAAGGTAGTATGAGTTCTGTTGAAATATTTTATCATAGGTTTTTAAGATGGATTTTAAAACTTTTTGTTTATTAATTATTAACAGGAACTAAGCTGTTTCAGAAAATGGAGGTTGATGAGCATAAACATAAACACCCATTAGTCACTTGTTGGACTAAGCAGAAGAACCAGTAAAGCATGCTGGGGAGGATGTGGGGAAAAGGACATAGAGGATTAAAAAGTTCTCTGTTTTCTTGTTTAACATTTTGTTTAGTGTTATCTTGAGATTTTTTTTAATGTCCCATTAGTGTGTATATTTAAAAAAAAAAACGTAGTTATAAAATTGACACATAAAATAGAATTCACAGTTGTAGGCAGTTTAATGTGTATACTTTAGTAGTGTAAGTTATGTTTGTTTTTTGTACAGTCTCCAAAACTTTTTCATCTTATGAAACTGAACCTATATACTCACTAAAAACAGCTCCCCATTTTCCCTTCCCATCTTCACCTGGCAGCCACCAATTAGTTAGTTTGTATGAGTTGGACAACTCTGGGTACCTTACATAACAGAATTATACAATATTTCTCCTTTTTGTGACTGACTTGTTGCACTTAGGATAAAGTCTTCTGTGTTGTAGCATTGTGTGTTAGAATTTCCTTCCTTTTTAAGGCTGAATAATATTCCATTGTATATACATTCTACATTTCATTTATTCATTCACCCTGCACCCCCCCC